GATAGCAATGAATATCTTAAGTGCTTTGACAATAAATCCATAACAAAATGTCATCTGTGGAAGCCGTAGTACTGTAAAAAGCACGACCAATCATCTGAGCCGGCCCGGCTAAAATAACTGGATGGCCGACCTGCCTGTCAGCCTTCCATCTGTGCACAAACTTATCTCGTGCCCTCATTGGTCATGTGCGCGTTCGTGTGTGTTGGAGGAGGGGCTCTGTGAGGAAGTCTGAAGGAAGGGGCAAATTGTTTTCGGTTGTGTAATTGTTTCAAATTCTAGCGCACTCGAGCTGGTTTCTCCATTCTTACCCACCTTTAATGAAGAAATAGTTAATTGGTCAGTTTCTCTGCTGCGTTTGTGTTTTTTTTGACCTGGTATTCAATTTTAATTTTGAATAAGGACACAAAAACACGAGTGCATCTCTCCTGCCAAGTCATTTCATGTGTGGAAATGTGTCCACAAATGTTTAAATAGCACTACTGTAAACCTATAAAAGTTGTATTGTGATACATACACAGCAATAGCCTATACATATCAATAAAATACATGTTGTGTTTAATGATATATTTGTGGATTATGGTAGGCTACATTGTGGATTGTTTTCTGTGGGTTCTAAATATTATAGACCAATAAGAACTTCTTTAGAAGAGGATCTAAAACGGAATGGTTTATCTCATTTGTTCTGATGGAGACAGCAGACCGGTGGTCTTATTTACTATACTGCAGATACCACAATGTATTTGCACAAGCACTGAGAAGTGAGTACACTGAAAAAACGGAAGCATTTACTTTGATTAAATGTATTATGTCAACAAATGTCTTGTAACTGTATTAGATTAGTTGTATTAAATAATAATTTGTATTTAAACGTAATATTAATGCTTTAAACCAACCTAATACAGTTATGCCAAAGTTGTTGACATAATGCATTTAATCCAAATCAACATTCCAGTGTTTTCGGTGCAGTGTCTAAGAACGTAGGCCTAGGGTGGCACCTGCGGGGGGGTGAGTAGGGGGGAGGCGGGTCTTGGGGCTCATCACTGAATGGAGCTGGGCTCTGAGGGAGAGGGTCATCGGGTGAGGAGGGGTGGGTGTTAGGCGTCCCCGGAGTCTGCAGCTGCTGGAAACGATTCATCATTTCAGCGAAGACGGTCCCCGGCAGCTCCCCCGCCCTCTGCGGGAGAGAGAGAGAGGGATGGCGATGGCGGGGGTGAGAGTTTGGATCGTCCACACCCTGCCCTCCAGAGCTGACGATCTGCTTGAACTGCTCCGTGATCTCCTTCAGGGTGCGGTTGATGTGGAGCTCCGGTCGCCTGCGGAAAGGCTCCTTGCAGAGGGGACACTCATAGGATTTGGCCCCCACTTTCGTGTCCCAGTAGGAGGAGATGCAGGCCTGGCAGAAGCTGTGGCCACATGAGGTGGAGACGGGGTTGTTGAACACATCCAGACAGATGGAGCAGGTGAACTGGTCTTCAGACAGGGAGGCTGCAGAAAGCTCCATCGCCATCCAACGATCAGCTGGAGAGAGACAGTGTGCTGTTCGGAAGGGATAGCTCAGGATGAAGAAAACATAGACAGACCTTCTACACTGAAACTGAAACATCGACTTTAATTCAATGTATCATCTCAAAGGGTTCCACATAACTGTATTAGGTTAGTTGAAAGCAATAATATCACATTTGAACTAAATTGTTTTGCTTTCAACTAACCTAATACAGATATGTGAAATCTGTTGACACAATACATTTAATTAAAGTCAACATTTCAGGTTTTTGTATTCCGTTAAAATTAGGTACCTGTCATCAGTAACAATCTGAGTATCACAATATAAAAGTAATGTAACCTGATTACTTTATGTTACTTTTGGATATCCTCAATATCAAATGCAATGAAATATGCATTTTTAGTATTATGTAAGACAACAGAACAATGACCTTAGGAAAGAAGAAACCAAGATATTTAGGACCAAGTTCACATAATGCTTTCGAAAAAAAGGTATTTAAAATAAAGAAGATTAAAAGTAACCTTAATGAAAACCAAAAACAACAATGTATTTATTTTATTTATTTATAAGTACAGTATGTCTGCCTATAATGTATACAACTTTTTTTATCTAACTGTAAGGGAAAGCATTTACCTTTTTTTTCTATTCAGATGACATAATCCCGTCCTTTAAGGGTTCATTCTAGATCTGCTGGTGGTTTGTTTTGGTCGTAAAGAAAGGAATCTACACCAAGGTTGATGTATGTGAATTCCCTATAGGCTTATAAGGAGCAGTCAAACTGGTTGCAAGGATATTGTGAAATACCATGGAACCACGTTCACACACCAGAACGATGGCAAACAATGCAAACAGCTCAATCAGATCAGAGTCCCACAGGTTAATAAGGTAAGAAGCATTCTTTTGTCACACTGAAATGAAATACAGAGTTTAATCCCAGATCAATTGTACATAAAGGCCCAGGAACACATTGTCGTCATTGATTGTAATTTAATGCTTAATGTCTCTTCCCTTGTTTTTGTTTCATATATTTCCCTTGTTGATGTTGAAAATGGAGCTTCTGTGATGCAAGAAAAAGGTCAGACTCAAAGTATTATCGTATCGTATTTCGTGTCTGTACGTCCTCTCTGTCTGCATGCAGCCTCAATGCAGAGTCCTTTCCTCATGAATGACTGCGTAAATAGAGTTCACATTAATATATCAGGTAAGATTTGTACAAACAAATTAAACGATTTATGTCTTTTTTTACAATTCCCTCAACAGGCTCAAGTTTTTCTTCATTTGTCAGGTTCTTTTTCCTTGACCACTGGAAGAATCTGCAGATTGGTGGGGTCTGATAACTTCACCCTTAGTATGCTGAACACGGACACAGGGTTGAGCTTCTGTGGGTGCCTGTCCTGTGATCAGAGTTATTGAATTTCTTTTAAACCAATGCTTGGACTGATGAAATAAATATGTTAGATGATTAAGTAGTTAAGGTTGGAGTAGTTTAGTTTTGAGGGTTTTGGTTAGTGTTAGGTATGTTTCTGTATAGTACATTAGCTCTCTCCAATTTGAGGTAGGCCTACTCAGGGGTTAAATTGGGATTTGATATGTGGGGGGGCGCAGGGGCGGATCTAGACAAATATTCATGAGGTGGCAAGAGGGTGGCAGGAGATTTTGAGGGGTGGCATCCCCTGGCAGAAGTATATGCTGATTTAATCGCAGTCATATCAATCAATGTTAACTTGGAAAGCCACAATATTGATATTTTAACTCAATAACATTAGGTGACATTATTGTGGCACATCAGTAAAGCCTTAAATATAAATATATAAGGTGGCAGGCGTAATTTAATGAATTTTAACTGAATGAGTTGGTTTAACTCTTAGACCAGCAGGGGTACCAAATAT